AATCGGTTCGAATCGTCGTTGCTCCTCGGTCATGGAGACTCAACTCACTGTTCAGCATCGTAGCATTAATAACTGGAATCTGGTTATGGTTGGATAAATTGTTGGATACGAAGTTTCATGATCTCATTACGGATCGTGTCAGCTTTGTATATGATCATATGAAATTTTAAATGTTGATACAAAGAACTTTGTTAAAGTGCTTTTACGCAAAAATACTTTGAATATTGCTAAAGCCCTACCTTGAAACCCTGAGCCTGCATTCCTGAATTCTATCAATTTTTATTTTCGGTTAAGTCTTGTGGAGTACTTTTGTACTCAGGGTTCATTGACCCTTGTTGCAGGTGAGGCTCATGAGCAGATCTGTTTTGGATCGTGCTGCATGACTGTTGTCCATTCTGATGACGATAAGTAATGTGTGGTCCTTGGGCAGGGCAGTTAACTTGTGTGTTTTGTAATATATTATAATGCCACTCCACTACTAGGGTTTTGTAATATTAATCAAACTTAGTTTGTAAGGTTTGAAATAAATATTTTGTAAACTAAGTTATTATAAGACTTCCGCTATATTTTACTCTGATGTATCTATTTGAATAAACTGTTGTATTACTGCAATGACTTTGTAATGTGATCCTGCTCGGAAATCGTGGATGATTCGGGGTTCCCCGAGGACACCCGACAGTCTTCTTAGGTTATCGGTAACATATGCATAGATGTCAAAGGTCGTTGGACAGTGACAGGTGCATGTGTGCCCTATAATTTAGGAGGTTCTGCCACAATGGTGAAACTCCTCACATGCCTCTGGGCATCAACAATATATGCAGGTACTGACATCTGCCATACCCGAAATAAGACGACGTAACTTCCCACATACATCCGACATCCAACAGTGTTGTGGGCGCCTACCATCATCCTGTACCTGCCGACGTGGGCAACAAGGTTTAGAAGCATACGTACTCCCTCCCTCTCACTTGTAAGGCCATCCCCTTCATCTATAAAAGGGGATGCGCTCTCTCCCAAAAGACTCAGTTGGTTCAGGTCGATCCAAGTGATTCCAGATTCATTAGATCGATCAAGTTCACTAGCTCACAACCACAGAACCACCAGGTTCGAACCTCAAGCACACGCTTGAACACTTAGCTCATAGTGGAGCTCCTGTCGCTCTCGGCCCTTCCGATCGGAGCCCGACCGGACCTCTTGCACCCCTCATTTTCTCCTTCTCGTTTGTAACCCCACTGCAAACTTCGAGCACCTGGGCTCAGGAATAAAGTCATCGACCGACTCAAATTGGATGTAGGGTACGTTGCCTGAACCAGTATAAACCCTGTGTCATTGAGTGATAGGCCACCTCCGATCACAACGTACGACAAAACTACAAATATCTACTTGTTGGTCACTTTCTGCACCGACACGTACCCAAAAAAAAAAGATGGACAAAAAAAATAGGTTGAAATTTTGTCTCTTTATTATTAAAAATATAGATGTAGATGCAGATAAAAAACAATATTATAACTAATAGTTCTATAATCCACTGGACCTACTTTTGTTGATTAGTATTTTTCTTTTGAAGTAAGAATAATTCAGGAATCCCAACACTCTTATTATTACAGTTTAAAATCCAAAAACCAGCTGTAATCCAAATAAACCCTAAGTACATATAATACAATATGGGGTACGGTGGAGAGGAGAACCCGAATGGACGATTCTGCAGTCTTGGTAAATAGTATTTCTTCCATCCCACTTTTTTTTTATTTACATTGATTATTTCTTTTCTTTTCTTTTTTGATCGGCACATTGATTATTTCTGAAGTCGCTCGCACCTAACTACTACTTTAGACTACTGTCCCTCCGGCCAATTCATTGGCATTTCGTGCCGTGAAAAACTGCTGTGGGGATTAGATTAATCGACGGACGCGGAGTTGACTGACCCGTCACGAATTGAAAGTAATTCATGTCTACATCCGTTTGAGAAAGGCCAGCCTATAGCATCGTTGCGACACAAACACTTTTACTATATTGAACGGTTTACTTGTCGTACTACTCGTCTAGTCTTCCTCGTCGATCGCTTCGACGTGGGCATTATTTTTTCTTTAATTAATTAACGTAGTTTCGATGTAGGCATTGCATTGATGTCAGGGGATACCGACTGGAACGGGACTTTGATTAACACCGACGATGATAGGAAGTTTGGAGGTAATAACACTCGTCGTCTCATTGGTCTATCTATCGTGCTTGCACTATGCACACGAGGAAAGTACAAGGACTTCTCACCTGCCACTGCCATTGGCAATTCTTCAATCCTATCACGTCATACAGAATGAGACCCATGGCTTTTGAAATTGGATCCTCCACTATGAAAAATGCCTACATCGATGAGCTACCCACAAAGTCAAACTTCCCAGCACACCCATGTCCAAACTCTAATCCTGTAGAATGCTAGACAATTGCTCCACTTACTGCAATAGACCCGAAAACTATGTGATACCATGGTCGACAAGTTCAACATGACTGCAACACAGTACGAGCAAAACAAAAAGGAAGAAATGCACCATATGGGTAAACTGAAACTTCTTTATGACATAGGTATCTATGCTCTCCTTGGCAAATTTAAAGTACCATTGATCTTTTTCCACTCTTCTTCTAAAGCCATTTGAAGAGGATGCCTCGTGTGAGCGGCAAAGAAGGGGGCAAAGACGAGGGACTCTACGGCCATGAGCTTGATGAGGATGTTCACCAACACCGATAGTATCCCTGGTGACAGCAGTTCCATATTGCACAAACTTAGTGTTCTACTCCATCCGTTCTAAAATCTACTCCCATTGTCCCTGAATAAGTCTTAAATCAAACTTTTTAAACTTTGACCGAATTTATGAAAAAAATCAAGATTTATGATATCAAACTAATATCATTAGATTTACCATAGAATATATTTTCATAATGTGTTAAATTTATGTCATAGATGTTGTCACTCATTTTTATAAAGTTAGTCAAACTTAAAAAAAAGTTTGACTGGCACAAATTCTAGGAATTGATTTATTTTAAGACAGAGGGAGTAGATTATAAGATGTTTCGGTTTTTAAAAATATTATTTTTACTTTGCATCTAGACATAATGTATATATCTAAATGCATGGCAAATGTAACGTATCTAGAAAAGCCAAAACACCTTATAATTTGAAACTGAAGGAGTACTTAAGGGCCTGTTTGGCACAACTCACAACAGCTTTATGAGTTTTTTTTTTTTTCCAAACATTTTTTCCAAAATAGCTTGTTTTTTCTCCTCTCACAAAGCGATGGGGTGGAAGAGAGCTGAAAAAAGTAGCTTTTGCCACTTCATCTCGACAGAGTGGTCCCAGCCTGCACCATTGACTGGTCTTGCCCTAAAAGAGAGAGAGAGAGAGAGAGAGAGAGGGGGGAGGGAGGCGCGCGCACGCCGGCGAACCGGACGAGACCGCCGGAGCGTGGCCCCCCGAGGCGTGGCCGGCAGGGCAGAGCTCGCCAAGAGTGGGACCGTCGGCGCAGGGTGGGGGTGTGGCCGCCAGAGGCACGGTCGCCGAGGCGCTTCACTTTGAGTCGTGAGGCCAGGCACGAGGGCGAGGCGGCGGCCGGAGCATGGGGCGGGCCTTGACCCGGCTGGACATCGGGGCGCGACATCCTAGATATACGGTCGCTCGGGCAAGAGAGAAAGGAAGAAGACGCGCAGGAGAGAGGAGATATGGAAAAAAAAAAAAAAAGAAAAAAGGAAAGTGCATTGTAATCATTTTCCTATTTGGGTTCATGTGAAGCTGCAGAGCCAAACAGGGTAAATAAAACAGCTCAGCTTTATCAAAAAAGCTGCTTGTGAAGCTAGTGAAGCTTCACTAGTGAATTTGAGCTATGCCAAACGGGAACTAAATATCATACGTATATTTTAGAAATAAAACCATAAAGCAACATACCATAGGTCTACCAAACTAGCCGAATAGCCAGGCATTCATGCGCTGTATGAAGTCCAGGCAAACACACCACTACACCAGTGTCCAGTGGTGGCGAAGAAGAATCAACCACCACATGCAAATTCAAGCCCTCATCAAGAGATAAATACGACACACTGCTTCATCCTTCCTTCTTCACCACGAAAAATATATAGCAAAGCATGCTTCCGTTACAATTAGCAACTTCAGCTCTTCACTATACACACAGGCTGCTTCGGTATGGAATTGTGGATATATATTGATAGCATGCTGCAGGTCAGCGTGCAGTTCCTTCTTTGATGCTGGAAAAGATTGATACAGAAGGGGAAAATTTTAAGTACAGGATGAGAGGTGCATGGAAAACAAAGTAAGCATGTGGATGCATGGTCCTTTGCAGAAAGCACAGGAGGCCTCTCTTTTGACACCAACCTGCTTGCTAGTACATCAGTTCAGTCACATTTTAAAATCTGAACAGAGCAGGGTCAAAATTCATGGTACAATGCAAATCAATCTATGCTTCTATTTCATCAACCACTAGTGACGAGAGTAATTTATCAAGAAGAGTACAAGCACCATCATGAACATGTAAAAAATCATATATAGGACAGGAGGGCCAAGATCGATGATTGGACACAAACCAACCTACGCTCCCAACTCATCAACAATGGGAGGAGCAAACATGAGCACATATTAAGGATATCTACAGTGAATTATATACTTCATATGAGATCTTTATTCAAGAAAAGTCTTCACCTCTTCTCAACTGAACATTTCAATTCACCGTGGACAGGGAGAAAGAAATGGGAGGCTCATCGCCGGCTTGGAGTAATGGAGCAGGAACAAAGCCCACGGCTTCTCTCCTGACTCAACTCAAGATCCTGAAATATGGAAAAGCTTTGTCTCCATCACATTGAACAATGATCCACATTAAAGCATAGGCTCCGGCTCCTCGTTTTGTTGGCAATAATTCAGAAAAAAATAGAAATGACAAACCTCTTACCGGATTCGAATCTTAACCATCCATGGACACTGACGATGATGGGGAGTTGTCTCAATCTATAATAGTCACATTTGGAATATGTGCCAGCTTGTTCTTATCCTCTCCATATCTGCATCTCTTCTCAAGCACTGGTCCACAGTTTAACAGGGTCAAGGTCTGCAATCCGGTGAGCTGTTGGATGCATGCAGGTAAAGTTTTCATAAAGTAGGTCTCCACCTTGAGCTCCCGGAGCGAGGTGATCTCGCACAGCCACTCTGGCAGCGTCGTAATTTCGTCACAGTTCAATATCTCGAGTTTCTGGAGGGATCTCCATCCCCGAATACTCTCTGGCAAAGGTATATCATCATAACAGTCGTCTATAATCAATTCCCCGATGTCAAAGTGTCGTAGACCGTTCCAGGATGTGGATGAAAACCCTCTGCTATACCTGATCTCCATTTTGTATAATGAGGCAGGGATGGATGGCCTCATGATTCGAGCAAAAGATGGACACATGTCTTGGCCAGGTTGTCCTTTCCTGCCTGATAAGATGTACCTGGCACTCCTTGGGATTGATGGTTCAAACCTCAACATAGAACAACAGTGTATCTCCAGATCTTGTAGGCCTGGAAACAAATTCTCATCGCTACAACCCTGCCCCTCCATGGATATTTGCAACTCCTGGTTGGTTAATTCGGACATTGTAATTCTTCTGAGCTTTCTAAGTGGTTCTGTGCACCAGATGCAGACTTTCGACCTTATGCTCTGTACCCGTGAAATGTGCAGCTCTTGGAGGCTCTGTAACTGATCAAGACGGAGATGTTCAAATCCCACACTGGAGAGCTCCAATTTCACAAGGTTTGGTAACTGATCCAGACGGATATGTTCAAGTACCACACTAGTGAGCTCCAATTTCACAAGGTTTGGGAGTGATGACATCCAAAGAGGGTTATATGCATCATCATATCCCTTTAAGCTAAGTATTTCGAGCGAGTCATAAGGGTGGAGCTTTTTTACATCCAGTGTGGATACTTTATTGTATTTAGAGCACACAATATGTAGTTCAATAAGCTGGGGACTACAAATCCTCTCCATAAACATATCGTTTGAATGGACCAAGAGAACAGGGCTCTGCATTTTCAAAGACAACAAGAAACAAAAGGCATGGCCAAATTATCATTTTATATACAGCTGAATATAAGTCATACATATAGACACGCAGAGTAAATTACCTGAGTTATATCTACACTTCCAATGTGTTTTATCTTGTCTTTGTCCTCTCCTGATGTGCAACGTTTGCGGAGTCTGTAGTTGCACTTCTTAAGGACCAGCTTCTCCAAAGCACTGAGGTCTTGAATGGATTGGGGCAATCGCTCGAGTTTGGCAGCATGTACACACAGATCACGCAGTGATACAAGTTCTCCAAGCCATTCCGGTAAAGCAGAAAAATTCCAACATTCTAGTACCTCTAATTTGCTGAGTAAGAGGCAGCATCGGATGCTATCTGGCAAGGTAGTAAGGTCGATACAGGAACGAATACTCAGTTGCTCCAGATTAACACAGTACTGAAGAAGTTCCCACTTCTCGAGGCCATTCATTTTCTTGATTGTAAACTCTCTCAGTTTCCTAAATAATGGTGTCTTGTCTCCATATATAGCAGCATCAACTTTGGCGACACAAGGCATATTTGAGATGCACAGCTCTTCCAGGTTTGCTAATTTGCCTAATAAAGGGATATGCTCACACAATATCATGTCAGACAGCTCAACTTTCACAAGATTTGGAAGGGAAAAACTTATATCCATCACCCAGGAGCACAATGTACGACTCCTATAGCCTTGTATTCGAAGTGTTTTTAGGGTCCCATGAGGCTGGAGTTTTTCAAGAATCAGAAAGTCATTAACTATGCTTGAATCCGGTGGCAAACTGCTGCTAGACCACATCAAACTCAGTGACTGCAGTTGCTGATATTGGGACAACTGGCCTTGCCCGCTTACTTCCTCTGCTCTCTCCACATGCTCAAGATTCTGGATAGTTATCTGCTCAATTTTGTAGTCATGGTATTGATATAGAAGGGAGAAGTTATTGGAGCAATTAGTGGCAGAGCCAGTGGCAAAGTGTAGGGGGTGCTCTTCCCCTTGTGTTTCATTCTCTTCCATCTCTTTTTTCCGGTGAACCCAGCGCCTGAGGGGATCTTCCTCCTCTTTATTGTCTCCCTCTTCTTCTAGTGTTTCTAATTCTTCCTCCTCCAGTGCTTCTTTCCAACGTAGCTGCTGCCTGTAGCTGTCAAAAATTAAAAGTGGATTCCTGTACACCCGACTCCGCTTTGGTCTTACGCTAAAAAGAGCCACCTGCGTTGTACCACATTCAGCATTAAAAACTAAATAAACTACTACCAACATTAGTATGCATATGATAGCCATCTGACTCCCATGGTGATATTGGCGATCTTGAACATATACAAATGCTATCGTGTATGTTAGCAAAATTGAATGACCACACTAAATTTTTTTATCCATGTCAGAGTTTTGATTAAATTCGAGTAGATCTTATAATTTCTTAAGAGTATCTAAATATTCGAACATTAAAACTTTGATAAGTAGTCCAACTTAGATATATTTTTTTAGCATAATTCAATTAAATAACTCTAATTTTACAACAATTGATGATGTCATTATAGTTAAAATGGAACAACTACATATCATACTGCAACCCAATCAAAATCTTAAAATATTTTATATTCATTACCTAAATAAATTTGAGGAAAGGAGAACAGATTGAATATTTATTTCCAGTATTTGGAAACTCATTCTCTCGTTGCAGCATTAATACATCCTACTTTCAAATTAGATATTTCAGAAATATATAATGCTTGGTTTTGTGCATATCACCAAAATGGAACATTTACACTATGTACAATGCACATGTCGGTTTCGTAGGATTTCGAGTCTGATTACTAATTTATTTTTGGGGAAAATGAATCGACCCAGTCAGGTGAATGCTTATGGCATGACACTATGTTTTTGTCACGTCACTCCCTCTGATATGACATGAGCACGCCTTGTACGCACCTGCCACCAGTGTGGCAGATTTCCCGAGTCAATGCATGTGGCATGATACCGTTGTTTTGTCGTGACAAGTGGACAGGTGTGGCCAAACGGGTTATATTTTAAAATACTTTTGAGGGTAGGTTATTTTGAAAATCTATTTTTTAAACGGTAAAAAATTAAAAAAAAAACATATGTGATGATATTCTTTTGTGGATAAGGACAAACCCTTCCTTCAACTTTGTTAATGCTATGGTGTGAAGGGATTAGAGGGATCAAAAGGAATTGAGGAGGATTAATAAATTTCTTATAAGTTAAAATCTCCTTGATCCTCTCGAATCACGTTGGAAAGGGGATTAACTAAACAGGGTCAAAAGATGTGGTTAGTTAATGATTTAATGTGCATAGGACAGAGTGTAAGCTATGCTTTGTTTGGTTAGGACAAGTCTTTTCACAAATGGTTACTCTATTAGTATGGGCGTCCTAAAATACAAGGGAATATGAGTTTGTCCAAAGTTAAATTGTCATAAGTTTGACAAAATACCCATTCGATATAAAAAAAATTATTATTATTGGTCAAGGTTAAAACAATTTGACTTGGGATAAACTCAGAATTCTTATGTTTTAGAATGACGTAATAATATATATAAATTTTGTGCTTAGTCTTGGGAGATCTTTTCAAAAGGTGCGAGTTTTGGGGAAAAATGGTGGCATGGGATTTGTACATGAATTGCATATACTTAAACTAAGGGGGCTGCCAAACACCCTTTGTAACTATAAATTTGTGTTATCATTGGTTTTTTCTAGAGTTGCAAACCAAGTTAACCATTGCATGGTAATTTGCTGTCAACATAGGCCTTAAACCTATCCCTTGTGTCGATGGGTAAACACCGGTAAATTAACACTAGCAGACTAAATTGATGTTTGGCTGAGGGATTTGGAGGGCGAGGTCTCACTAAATCTGATATAAACATGCAAGGGAAATGAATGAGCTTGTGCGTGGACTCCATGAGCAGACCTTGTAATCCGTCTGAGCCTAGCATTGAAACAAGAGTTAGCTCTTCTCTTTCCCTCTCTTCTCTCTTGTAAGCAAAACTCTGAGCTAGACTTATATGAGCCCTTTGTAGACTTGCTTAGCATGTTCTTTTAGTGTTGTTTTAGTTTTTTTAAGGACATGTTTAGCATGATGGCCCTAAGGACTTAATCTTAGTGTGATGTTTTAAGTCCTAGGCTTAATCCTTGCAAGAGGTGGGTAGAATTTGTAAAGACAAAGGTTGTTGCACTAAATTTTAGAGCCCAGTTCACCCACTCTAGAGCCATCCAGTCCTTTCAGAGCCAAGCTTTTCCTGTGGGACTCATTCTATTTGAACCGTGTTGAATCGACGGTTAAACAGGTTGGACCAAGCAAACCATGAACCAAGACCTGGATTGGTTCAGTATCCGTTACAGTCATAATATAACTATGACGGAGGACTAGGAGTTGATGTGTGCCGTAACTGCCACCACTGCACCTTCCTATTTCACCTCCAATTTTTTTCTGATTATTGTTAATATTCCATTCAATTCAAATTTGACTTCCAACTCAAAAATCCAATTTTAAAGAATTACCCCACAAGTTTAAAAATCAATGTGGTTAGGAGAGCAAATTTTTCTAAACAAAAAAAAAATCCTATACAAGGCCTTTTTTAAAAGGTAAAAGCCCAAATTACTCCCCTGCGCATGAAAATTGACTGCATAACCTATAAATTACTTTTGTGTTGAATTGACGCCTCCAGTTGAGTCTAAAGCTCCAATTATGTAGCTGATAGTGAACATCATAACTTATGTAGTTATGTTAGAAAAATACATTATGACATTTTCATCATAATTTTTGTACAATTTTGTATGTAGGATTAATTTATTATAGATGCCTAAGTTATCAAAAATTAATGATGAACATTCATAATGTATTTTTGTAACATAAAATATGATTTCTTTCAACCTACAAGATTGAAACTTAAAATTCAACTTACATGTGGAGAAACAAGAAAGAAAAATCTTACTAAATGGTAGATTAGACCAACTGAAATATCTTGAGAGATAAATTGAACATAAAATTAGTTTTGGGTGCTTTCTGGACAATGTTCCTGTGCTGGGGCCGAGGAGTAAATTGAACTTTTTCATTCTTTTAAAAAAATAAATAGGGTCAACTTACCTCCCTCGTATTGACATACGGAATATGATGATAGCCAGACAACATTGAAATAAGAAGTTCTGGAGATGGTGTAGTCAATTTTTCCAATCTGGTCATTTTATGCAGTGAGTCACGCCAGAAGAAGTAGCGGATGCAATCGACTTCAATTTCCAGTAGTGATGTGAATAGAGCCAATATTTTAGGAAGTGGCCCGTGGCAATCTGTTATCTTGACTTTCCGAAGGGTTCCAAAAGGCCTTTCCTCCATTCTGGACGGTCTGGCAATGATGTCGCATCTAGTGATAAAAAGCTCCTCCACGTTGATGTGTGTAACTACTTTCACAATCCATCTTAGAAAATCATCATGTATTTCAACACAGTCCTCTATCCACATTTTTTATTTGAATGTGGGATTCAAATGCAACATATCATATCTTTGGATACCTATGGCATCTTCCTCGATATGATCCAGATTGCGAAAGCTATTCTTGATGATGTACTCCTTGCTCATTGGGATATATGGATGCAGTTTTAGATTATGACAGCTTTCTATCTTCAAATAATCAAGTGTAGGGCCTGCTTCCTGTTCTCTTCTTTCTTTAGAGGGAGCTGGAGTTAGTACTGGCTTGCAGGTGACAGCAGGTGCGTCATTTCCAGCACCAATGTAGTGTATTCTCTTTGTCTCTGTCGACGTGCCACAGCGTGGAGCTTTTAAACAACCCTTGACCTTTGCTACAAGGCCTGCTACTGCTGCCTTTCTTTTGACTTGCTTATTTACAGGAAGAGAACCAGGTAACTTGTCATGCTTATCTCTTGTTTCTCTCTCTTCCTCATCAAAGTCACGACTTAATACCACCTCATGTACTCCAGTCTCTTCCACATCATTTACTTGTGTCTCTGAGTTGTCATCAT